TGGTTACTTACTCTAATATCTGTAATCTTCTCAAATGTTAATCATTTAATGTGTCCAATGTAATTTCTCTCTACCAAACTTATTAAAGCCATATAGCATGAATTTATAGAATATTCAATTCTCTTGTATTCATTGTAAACTCATCTAATGACCATATGTACAAAATTACCACACTGTTATTGCCTTATTAATCTTAAGTTAGTCTTAAGTTTGCCCGAAATGCTCTGCATATAAAGGGGCTTTTGGAATGTATACCCAATTTTTATACTCCTTTGTATAAACATGTATCATGCTGAAATAAATTTATTATTATTATTTTTATTGTTATAGGTAGTAGGTTGGTAGACAACAACCACCCAGGGAGGTACTACCGTCCTGTGGTAGTAGGTTGGTAGACAACAACCACCCAGGGAGGTACTACCGTCCTGTGGTAGTAGGTTGGTAGACAAAAACCACCCAGGGAGGTACTACCGTCCTGTGGTAGTAGGTTGGTAGACAACAACCACCCAGGGAGGTACTACCGTCCTGCCAAGTGAGTGTAAAACAAAAGCCTGTAATTGTTTTACATGATGGTAGGATTGCTGGTGTTTTTTGTCTGTCTCATAAACATGCAAGATTTCAGGTATGTCTTGCTACTTCTACTTACACTTAGGTCACACTGCACATACATGTACAAGCATATATATACACACACCCCTCTGGGCTTTCTTCTATTTTCTTTCTAATTCTTATTTTTTTTTATTATCACACTGGCCGATTCCCACCAAGGCAGGGTGGCCCAAAAAAGAAAAACTTTCACCATCATTCACTCCATCACTGTCTTGCTAGAAGGGTGCTTTACACTACAGTTTTTAAACTGCAACATTAACACCCCTCCTTCAGAGTGCAGGCACTGTACTTCCCATCTCCAGGACTCAAGTCCAGCCTGCCGGTTTCCCTGAACCCCTTCATAAATGTTACTTTGCTCACACTCCAACAGCACGTCAAGTATTAAAAACCATTTGTCTCCATTCACTCCTATCAAACACACTCACGCATGCCTGCTGGAAGTCCAAGCCCCTCGCACACAAAACCTCCTTTACCCCCTCCCTCCCACCTTTCCTAGGCCGACCCATACCCCGCCTTCCTTCCACTATAGACTGATACACTCTTGAAGTCTTTCTGTTTCGCTCCATTCTCTCTACATGTCCGAACCACCTCAACAACCCTTCCTCAGCCCTCTGGACAACAGTTTTGGTAATCCCGCACCTCCTCCTAACTTCCAAACTACGAATTCCCTGCATTATATTCACACCACACATTGCCCTCAGACATGACATCTCCACTGCCTCCAGCCTTCTCCTCACTGCAACATTCATCACCCATGCTTCACACCCGTATAAGAGCGTTGGTAAAACTATACTCTCATACATTCCCCTCTTTGCTTCCAAGGACAAAGTTCTTTGTCTCCACAGACTCCTAAGTGCACCACTCACCCCTTTTCCCCTCATCAATTCTATGATTCACCTCATCTTTCATAGACCATCCGCTGACACGTCCACTCCCAAATATCTGAATACATTCACCTCCTCCATACTCTCTCCTTCCAATCTGATATCCAATCTTTCATCATCTAATCTTTTTGTTATCCTCATAACCTTACTCTTTCCTGTATTCACTTTTAATTTTCTCCGTAAGCCATGCGTGTTGTAAGAGGCAACTAAAATGCCGGGAGCAAGGAGCTAGTAACCCCTTCTCCTGTATATATTACTGAATGTAAAAGGAGAAACTTTCGTTTTTCCTTTTGGGCGACCCCGCCTCGGTGGGATACGGCCAGTGTGTTGAAAGAAAGATTTTTATTATTTGTAATGGCTTGACAAAGCTCCTGGAGAGTGAAAAGTTGCACCTGTGTCCTTTTATCTAGCACTTTCAAATTCACCCCATCACTGTTTTGCCAGGGTTGTTTTATATACAGTTGAAAAAAAAATCGCATCATATGACCCTCCTCAAGTGCAGACACGACCTCCCACCTCCAGGACTGAAGTCTGGCTCACGGGTTTCTCTGAATCCCTTTAGTTACCAGGTCACATCCCCTCCAACACACATCAAGTCTAAAAACCTTCGTCTCCACTTGCCCTATCTAACATGCCCACTCATGCTTGATGAAGTCCCAGCCTCTTGTACACAAAACTTCCTTTACTCCCTTCCTCCAACCTTTCCTAGGACAACCCATACCCAGCCTTCCACTACAGACTTATACACCCTCCAAGTCATTCTATTTTGTTCCATCCTCTCTAATGTCCAAATCACCTCAACAACTCTTCCTCAGCCCTCTGGATAATACTTTTAGAAACCCCGCACCTCCTTCTAATCTCCAAGTTACAGATTCTCTGCATTATATTCACACTGCACATTACCCTCAGACATGACATTTCCACTGCCTCTAGCCTTCTTGTTGTAACACTCACCACCCATGCTTCACACCCATATCAGTGTTGGTACCACTATATTCTGATACATTCTTCACTTTGCTTCCATGGATAACGTTCTTCGTCTCCACAGACTCATCAGTCTGTCGAGACGAAGTACTTGGGACACTTGTGCAGTACTTGGGAATCCACAGACTGAGGAGTCTGTGGATTCCCAAGTACTGCACACGAGTTACCAGTATTAATATGGTATTTTGATTTAACATACTGTTTACCCATTGAGTTTCCATACATTAATGGTAAACTAATACTATGAATAAGATATGCACTGCACTCTGTGTATACTTGCCTATATATGTGTGTATGTGTGTATTTGCATATATGTATGTATGTATGTTTGTGTGTAGGTGTATACACATATTTGACAATTGCAACCACAGTTAGGTGAGTATAGGCAAGTACACAGACAGTACAGTATTTTTTTTTTTTTTAACACATCTGCCATCTCCTGCCGAGACAGGGAGACCCAAAAAAGAAAAGCACTTTCACCATCATTCACACACAATCACAGTAAAATATAATTATATGAAAAAAATTCTATATTCTTTTTTGATAACAAAATATTTTGTTCAAAATTCTATGTATAACTAAAGGGATTCTCCACTTCGAGCTAAATGCCATGACAATAATGAAAGGCTCTTGATTCAGGAAACTGCAGCTACCTGCCACTCCTTGAATCAAACCTCTCATTTCAAGCCACTGTATGACTTATCAAGTTAAGAATTTCTCAATGAATGTAAAGACCAGAGGCCTAGCTTCTCCCTACAAGCCCTGTGAGGGCGGGGAATGTGGCTAGGCCTGGGGACACTTGGTCCCAAACATGAGGGGGTACTTGTACCTCCTCCCATGGGAGACTTACATCTCGAGACACTTCCCGGATAGGGAGCCAAGGCCGGGTCACCACTACTTGGAAAAGACCCGAGCCGGGAGAATACCGGCGAATAAGAAAAAAAAAAAATGAATGTAGAGATAAACTGCAGTAAACTGCAAAACTGAATACAGTACTACAGTATGTAAATCTTAGTTCTTTCTACTTAATGTATTTTAACAATTTACCTGCACTGCAATGTTGACTGTAGTATTATGGGCCACACACTCAGGAACTGTAACTGGACGAGTAATAGTGAAGCGAGGCGTTTTATTATGCAACCACGAATATGAAGACAACTCAGCCTCCACTTTAGCCAGTCCTAAGAAAGGAGGGAATGCAATAATTTAGCCATCCTATTGCTTATTAGTTAAAATATTTGTCAGTCACTATACCTCATGGCTGTGACCCTTAGAGGAAGAGGGAGGTGTCTCGACTCTCAGGAATGAGCTCTAAGGTATTGGTCCTATCCTTCGCTTCCTTGGATCAAACCTGATTACCTCCCATTCCCCAGGCATAAGAGCTGTATGACCCTTCGAGTTTAGTGCCTACCTTGATTATATTATTGTTAAATCTCAGAATTGTGTTTCTGGGCATACTCAGCTCCTGGCCCTTCTGGAACTTCAAAACTTGGTTGGCATGTACTAGCTCCTAACCTCCTCTGGGCCCTCTCTCTATGAATATAATAGCCTTGTGGCTTTGAAGGGAACAGAAAGATAAATTCCATATGGCATGTATCTGTTGTTCAGGTAAGTTGAATGAAGATGTGGATAAAGTTCTGTATTTATGTTTTGGATACGCATAATAGAAGCTTGGATATAAAGACATTCTGAAGACAAGTCTTTTATTTAGACTGTTTTGCTCAGGGTTGAGCTTCATCAAGTAATACACAAGATACAATATATACATACACCTGAGTATACTGTAGACTGTATACGTGTTTAAAAATGAAGAATCTTATATCATCTGCCAGTGATGTAGGTAGCAGAGCACTCCCATCAGCCTGCTGGTCAAATATTTATGGCTGAACTATTCGATTATAAGCCAGGTGTTTCCCCATAATGTGTTGAAATGGTTTCTCTAAGCTGAGAGCACCCTGGTTTTTATCAAGTGTCTGTTGTGCCAATCACCAATTCCCAGCACCTTTCTCTAGTTGTCCTCTCCACTTATAATAAGTATGGCATCCTGAGATGCCATAATGGTATGCGAGATCAGTGACCATCCGCACAACATACACTACCAAACAGAACAACGGTGCTCTCAGCCCAGCACAAAACTTGACACACAATCTTGTATGGGAAATGTCTGTTCAATAATCAAACAGCAACTCAAATTTAAATAGGTAATGTACCAGAAGGCTGACTGTAATAAAAACTCACTGCCATGTCTTCACAAATAAGATTTTTTATTGTTTTTACCACTCTGAGTATACATATAAAAAGTATCCTCTAGATGACTAGATGAAACCTGACCCTGAGTGAAATGTAGTCCCAGTGAAAGTGTGACTAGTTAATGGTCCAAGTTGGACTAAAACATCATCATAGGTTGCTTTCTCTTATGTGCGGGTTATATGTGCATTTTTATACCCATCCATGTTGGAATTACTCCTCTACAGCCTATAATAAGAGTAATGCTGATATTTTCTGCAAGACCCATATATTTAGTACAGCACAGTGCCTGGGGAATGGGAGGGAATTAGCTTTGATCCAAGAAAGGGAAGAAGTTCAAGTCCTTGGATCAAGAGTCCCTCACGAACATCAAGGAACTTCACTTAACTGGACACCCCAAGACACATATAGTTTAGCTCATTTCTTAATATAATTATAATATGTAATACATAACTAATTTTTGGTATTGAAGTATATCTCAAGGTTCAGTACTTTTCTCCCCTCAAAAGAGGTGGCTGTATGCTGGTAAAGGTCTCTTGATTGAAGGAATTGGAGCTGCCCTCCCTTTTCTTGAATCAAACCTGATTACTTCTCTTTCCCCAGCTACTGTACGAGCCCTTTGGGTTAAGCGCTTACCCACGAATATAATAGTTCTCTAATTTACCACTAATAAAAATTACTGCTAGAGAACTTTAATACATCCCATGGTATGACCCTAACGGGTTCAGTGCTTCCCTCTGAATACATAATTCAGTTATCAAACAAATTAACCATGGTTATAATATTACATTTGTGAAGACTACTGTAATTACTTAAAATAGTTTAAAAGACCCATATGGGATTCCTGTATCATATTATATCACCTGATACAAATTAACCAAATATGTACTGCCTCTCCTCACTTAGTGATGTACTCGTTTACCAACGACTCGGACTTACAACGAGCTCTCTGACCAGTATCCATACTTAAATAATGTATGTTAGAGCTGATTTCCTCTATTCTGTTTATTACAATATACAGTACACTACTGTATAAACATTTAAAATATACAAAATGTTATAAATAGTACAAAGGTGACATTAAAACAATATCAAAGATGGTTGACACAAACCCACTACCATTATAGTATGCTCCTCACTTAGTGATGAATTTGTTTACCAATGTGGTCTTAGGAACAGAACTCAGTATGCTCCTCACTTAGCGACAAATTTGTTTACCAATGTGGTCTTAGGAACAGAATTCCGTTGTTAAGTGAGGAGAGGCTGTATTGCATTTATCTAATTTAAAATATACTACTTCAAAATCATCCACAATCCTTTTCACATACAGTATTGTCTTCACATGTATAATCAACATGAGATGCTCACTGTATACTCGTATGGTCCATTAACAAGGTAAAAACACAGAATATGGTTCACAGTCCTCAAGAAAAATATGCCGAGTCCTGAATCCTTTGCACTCACCTCCAGCTCCTTTCTATTAAGATACTATTCCTCTTTGCCCCATGCATAAAATCACTGTCCCCCTGTCATCTTTGACATTTAACAATTCAAAATATTTTCTCCATCTCTTCCATACCAACACCTCTCCATCTAAATTACCAGCACTTCTGTTAAGCTGTCAGGTACATTTGCTCGTCAGGTCTCCTCGTCTTCTCAATCTCTTAATATATTTTTCTTATTTTTATTCTCTGCAATATTTGCTGCTGTCTTAACCATTTTTTTTTTTTATTATTATCACACTGGCCGATTCCCACCAAGGCAGGGTGGCCCGAAAAAGAAAAACTTTCACCATCATTCACTCCATCACTGTCTTGCCAGAAGGGTGCTTTGCACTACAGTTTTTAAACTGCAACATTAACACCCCTCCTTCAGAGTGCAGGCACTGTACTTCCCATCTCCAGGACTCAAGTCCAGCCTGCCGGTTTCCCTGAACCCCTTCATAAATGTTACTTTGCTCACACTCCAACAGCACGTCAATTATTAAAAACCATTTGTCTCCATTCACTCCTATCAAACATGCTCACGCATGCCTGCTGGAAGTCCAAGCCCCTCGAACACAAAACCTCCTTTACCCCTTCCCTCCAACCTTTCCTAGGCCGACCCCTACCCCGCCTTCCTTCCACTACAGACTGATACACTCTTGAAGTCACTCTGTTTCGCTCCATTCTCTCTACATGTCCGAACCACCTCAACAACCCTTCCTCAGCCCTCTGGACAACAGTTTTGGTAATCCCGCACCTCCTCCTAACTTCCAAACTACGAATTCTCTGCATTATATTCACACCACACATTGCCCTCAGACATGACATCTCCACTGCCTCCAGCCTTCTCCTCACTGCAACATTCATCACCCATGCTTCACACCCATATAAGAGCGTTGGCAAAACTGTACTCTCATACATTCCCTTCTTTGGCTCCAAGGACAAAGTTCTTTGTCTCCACAGACTCCTAAGTGCACCACTCACCCTTTTCCCCTCATCAATTCTATGATTCACCTCATCTTTCATAGACCCATCCGCTGACACATCCACTCCCAAATATCTGAATACATTCACCTCCTCCATACTCTCTCCCTCCAATCCAATATCCAATCTTTCATCACCTAATCTTTTTGTTATCCTCATAACCTTACTCTTTCCTGTATTCACTTTTAATTTTCTTCTTTTGCACACCCTACCAAATTCATCCACCAATCTCTGCAACTTCTCTTCAGAATCTCCCAAGAGCACAGTGTCATCAGCAAAGAGCAACTGGGACAACTCCCACTTTATGTGTGATTCTTTATCTTATAACTCCACGCCTCTTGCCAAGACCCTCGCATTTACTTCTCTTACAACACCATCAATAAATATATTAAACAACCACGGTGACATCACACATCCTTGTTTAAGGCCTACTTTTACTGGGAAATAATTTCCCTCTTTCCTACATACTCTAACTTGAGCCTCACTATCCTCGTAAAAACTCTTCACTGCTTTCAGTAACCTACCTCCTACACCTTACACCTGCAACATCTGCCACATTGCCCCCCTATCCACCCTGTCATACGCCTTTTCCAAATCCATAAATGCCACAAAGACCACTTTAGCCTTATCTAAATACTGTTCACTTATATGAAACATATAACATATTATTTTTATTATTTTATTATCACACCGGCCGATTCCCACCAAGGCAGGGTGGCCCGAAAAAGAAAAACTTTCACCATCATTCACTCCATCACTGTCTTGCCAGAAGGGTGCTTTACACTACAGTTTTTAAACTGCAACATTAACACCCCTCCTTCATATATGAAACATATAAGTGAACAGTATTTAGATAAGGCAAAAGAGGTGTTTGTGGCATTTATGGATTTGGAAAAGGCGTATGACAGGGTGGATAGGGGGGCAATGTGGCAGATGTTGCAGGTGTAAGGTGTAGGAGGTAGGTTACTGAAAGCAGTGAAGAGTTTTTACGAGGATAGTGAGGCTCAAGTTAGAGTATGTAGGAAAGAGGGAAATTATTTCCCAGTAAAAGTAGGCCTTAGACAAGGATGTGTGATGTCACCATGGTTGTTTAATACATGTATATTTATAGATGGGGTTGTAAGAGAAGTAAATGCGAGGGTCTTGGCAAGAGGCGTGGAGTTAAAAGATAAAGAATCAAACATAAAGTGGGAGTTGCCACAGTTGCTCTTTGCTGATGACACTGTGCTCTTGGGAGATTCTGAAGAGAAGTTGCAGAGATTGGTGGATGAATTTGGTAGGATGTGCAAAAGAAGAAAATTAAAAGTGAATACAGGAAAGAGTAAGGTTATGAGGATAACAAAAAGATTAGGTGATGAAAGATTGGATGTCAGATTGGAGGGAGAGAGTATGGAGGAGGTGAACGTATTCAGATATTTGGGAGTTGACGTGTCAGCGGATGGGTCTATGAAAGATGAGGTGAATCATAGAATTGATGAAGGGAAAAGGGTGAGTGGTGCACTTAGGAGTCTGTGGAGACAAAGAACTTTGTCCTTGGAGGTAAAGAGGGGAATGTATAAGAGTATAGTTTTACCAACGCTCTTATATGGGTGTGAAGCATGGGTGATGAATGTTGCAGCGAGGAGAAGGCAGGAGGCAGTGGAGATGTCATGTCTGAGGGCAATGTGTGGTGTGAATATAATGCAGAGAATTTATAGTTTGGAAGTTAGGAGGAGGTGCGGGATTACCAAAACTGTTGTCCAGAGGGCTGAGGAAGTCTTGTTGAGGTGGTTCGGACTTGTAGAGAGAATGGAGCGAAACAGAGTGACTTCAAGAGTGTATCAGTCTGTAGTGGAAGGAAGGCGGGGTAGGGGTCGGCCTAGGAAAGGTTGGAGGGAGGGGGTAAAGGAGGTTTTGTGTGTGAGGGGCTTGGACTTCCAGCAGGCATGCGTGAGCGTGTTTGATAGGAGTGAATGGAGACAAATGGTTTTTAATACTTGACGTGCTGTTGGAGTGTGAGCAAAGTAACATTTATGAAGGGGTTCAGGGAAACCGGCAGGCCGGACTAGAGTCCTGGAGATGGGAAGTACAGTGCCTGCACTCTGAAGGAGGGGTGTTAATGTTGCAGTTTAAAAACTGTAGTGTAAAGCACCCTTCTGGCAAGACAGTGATGGAGTGAATGATGGTGAAAGTTTTTCTTTTTTGGGCCACCCTGCCTTGGTGGGAATCGGCCAGTGTGATAATAAAAAAAAATTATATGTTTCATTGTAAACACCTGGTCCACACACCCCCTACCTTTCCTAAAGCCTCCTTGTTCATCTGCTATCCTATTCTTACCCATATAATACTCTTATCTGCTCTCCTGTACTTCCTCACCATATAAATGCACAAATACCAAGAACCATTCTCAAAACTTTTTAGATTAAAACTAAATTGCTTTGGTTATTGGCATGACACTGACATGCAGTGCATACCTTTATTAACAATGCAATGCCCATACAATGGGCTTTATCTAATCTTGATAAAGCTACTGCATGGGCAAGGCCTTCTCATAATAAATATATGCACTGCATCCAACTGTCAGTTTGTCTAAACTGTTAAAATTATAAAATTCAGATATCCATAAGTATTTAGAAATCTAGTATTCCAGCTAAAGATAATAATTCCTTAATTACAGAAGGGATTACCTGGGAACCAATCATCAGTGGGATTTATCAATGTGTAGCCATTGGAAAGTTGATACATCTGCTGTGAGGAAGCGTCTATTCCTTTTGTGGAAGATTCTAGGTATTTGCGACCAATGCTTGAAATGAGCTTTTGTACCGAGATGTCTTCATTGGCATCGTGCAGATTCATTACCAGTGCTGGTATACTAGCTGTTGCTTTGCTCTGGATATTCTGTCCCAAATGAAGATAACATATAATATATGTATATTCATAACCCACACAGAGGAGAAAGAAACTTATGATGATGTTTCGGTCCGACTTAACTAGTCACGCACTGTGTAACTCATTAATGGTTCAAATCAGACCGAAACGCTATCAAAAGTTTCTTGCTCCTATGTGCGGGGTTATATGTGCATAATATAAGTTAACACTAGTTGCTCGTCTGACAGATGTCAAAAATTCAATGATCATAAGCTAACCGATATAGAACAAGAGTATAATAAATTATCGGAACACGGAGGCTTTAGGAAAGGTAGGGGGTGTGTGGACCAGGTGTTTACAGTGAAACATATAAGTGAACAGTATTTAGATAAGGCTAAAGAGGTCTTTGTGGCATTTATGGATTTGGAAAAGGCGTATGACAGGGTGGATAGGGGGGCAATGTGGCAGATGTTGCAAGTGTATGGTGTAGGAGGTAGGTTACTGAAAGCAGTAAAGAGTTTTTACGAGGATAGTGAGGCTCAAGTTAGAGTATGTAGGAAAGAGGGGAATTTTTTTTCCCAGTAAAAGTAGGCCTTAGACAAGGATGTGTGATGTCACCGTGGTTGTTTAATATATTTATAGATGGGGTTGTAAGAGAAGTAAATGCGAGGGTCTTGGCAAGAGGCGTGGAGTTAAAAGATAAAGAATCACACACAAAGTGGGAGTTGTCACAGCTGCTCTTTGCTGATGACACTGTGCTCTTGGGAGATTCTGAAGAGAAGTTGCAGAGATTGTGGATGAATTTGGTAGGGTGTGCAAAAGAAGAAAATTAAAGGTGAATACAGGAAAGAGTAAGGTTTATGAGGATAACAAAAAGATTAGGTGATGAAAGATTGAATATCAGATTGGAGGGAGAGAGTATGGAGGAGGTGAACGTATTCAGATATTTGGGAGTGGACGTGTCCAGCGGATGGGTCTATGAAAGATGAGGTGAATCATAGAATTGATGAGGGAAAAAGAGTGAGTGGTGCACTTAGGAGTCTGTGGAGACAAAGAACTTTGTCCTTGGAGGCAAAGAGGGGAATGTATGAGAGTATAGTTTTAACCAACGCTCTTATATGGGTGTGAAGCGTGGGTGATGAATGTTGCAGCGAGGAGAAGGCTGGAGGCAGTGGAGATGTCATGTCTGAGGGCAATGTGTGGTGTGAATATAATGCAGAGAATTCGTAGTTTGGAAGTTAGGAGGAGGTGCGGGATTACCAAAACTGTTGTCCAGAGGGCTGAGGAAGGGTTGTTGAGGTGGTTCGGACATGTAGAGGAGAATGGAGCGAAACAGAATGACTTCAAGAGTGTATCAGTCTGTAGTGGAAGGAAGGCGGGGTAGGGGTCGGCCTAGGAAGGGTTGGAGGGAGGGGTAAAGGAGGTTTTGTGTGCGAGGGGCTTGGACTTCCAGCAGCATGCGTGAGCGTGTTTGATAGGAGTGAATGGAGACAAATGGTTTTTAATACTTGACGTGCTGTTGGAGTGTGAGCAAAGTAACATTTATGAAGGGATTCAGGGAAACCGCAGGCCGGACTTGAGTCCTGGAGATGGGAAGTACAGTGCCTGCACTCTGAAGGAGGGGTGTTAATGTTGCAGTTTAAAAACTGTAGTGTAAAGCACCCTTCTGGCAAGACAGTGATGGAGTGAATGATGGTGAAAGTTTTTCTTTTTCGGGCCACCCTGCCTTGGTGGGAATCGGCCGGTGTGATAATAAAAAAAAAAAATAATTAAAAAATATTCCAAAGGTAGATTAAGAAGCCAAGGATTCATTATAAACATTTAGCAGTAACTACCTTATCTCCCTGGAGAGCCAGCTTCATCTGTTGTTTGTTTGTTCTAACCAGCAAGGTACAGTGATGATAAGCTGACTGACGGCCCAACTTTGCTGCTGTCCCAGACACCTGAAAGAATAAAATTCTATAAGTGTAATATGTATAAGTGTAAGTGCTAAGATATTACTCTACTGTACTCTTTACACTTCCAACTTCTGTAAAGTGAACCACAGAACAGGTGGGGTTTGAACCCATGGCGAGTCCCAGTGGTGGCTCGTCCATAGGAGCTGCAGAGCTGCAGTCCCCCCAGATGCTCAATGCCAGATGTATGACTTCATCAACCTTACGCTAAAATAACTTGCAACTGACAAATATATTACATGAAAAATCTGTTGTATGTTGTTTTCAATGTATTTATAAGCGAATTTTTTTTTTTTTTTTTGGTTGAACAAGATAAAAAAGATTATAAAAGTAGAAGTTTGATGTGGTACGATAGTATAAGTATTACTGGCATTACATCTGGCAGTGAAGAGCTGCATTTGATAGAGCACACTACTTTAAAACGTTTTTATTGCGTTGTAGAGACTTGCAGTCATGCACCCCCATTCTATTTTTTGACGAGCCCCCATGGCGGTCCTAAAAACCACATCCAGCGCTTTAAAAAACCCCGGGGCCCCGCTGGCCCTGATTTGTTTTT